TCGTACATAACTTAAAGCTTCACCAAAAAAATCTTTGACTCGCACTTTTTACCGAGGTAACTTTTGTTTTGCGAAAAATGTGAAACACGTCTGAAGCGGTTTTTCACATAGATCCTTGGAAATGAATTTGAAACGTCACCCACCAAATCTTTGACCTCCATTTCCACTAAGGAGGAACGGATTTTTCGAAAAGTGTGAAACACCCCTCAAATGAATTTGAACAAAGATCTTTGAAAATGAGTTTGGGGCCGATCGGATGGTAAACAAAAAACTTTCATACAACCGTTTTCCGCCAATTTACCACTGTTGCGGGTGGAATTTCCCAAATCGCTGAAATTCGAATTTATTAAGTTCTTATGTAGAGCTTTGAAAATAAGTTTGAAGCAAATCGGACACAACTTAAAACTTCACCCAAAAAATATTCAAATCGCATTCCCCCCGAAGAAGTTTGAACTCTGCGAAAAGTGTGAAACACGCCTCAAATGATTTTTCTTATAGATCTCTGGAAATGAATTTGAGCGCGAAACGTCACCCACCAAATCTTTGACCTCCATTTTCACCAAGGAGGAACGGATTTTTCGAAAAGTGTGAAACACCCCTCAAATGAATTTGAACAAAGATCTTTGAAAATAAGTTTGGGGCCGATGGGATGGTAAACAAAAAAGTTACATACAAATAAGGTAGCTACAGTGAAAATTTCAGCTTCCTAGCTCTTACGGTTTGGGCTGTGCGTTGATCACCAATCAGTCAGTCAGTCAGTCAGTCAGTCAGTCAGTCAGTCAGTCAGGACAAATAGTTTTATATATAGAGATAGATATTATAAGCAATTGTAGTTTTAAATAACATGAAACTTGAACTCTTTTCAACTTCGCGTACCAACACTTCTCTCATCCAAACACATAACTAATATGAACAGGATTTAGAAAAATGGCTAACTACAGATTTAATACAAGTCTTGTTTGTGCGATTTTATGCTTTTGTCTGCTTATCAGAACTGTTTTTAATAATATTTTTTAAAATGTAGTCCTTGCATTTGCATGGAAAAACATTATAAAAAGTCTGCATCGACGAAATTTGTCCTGTCCGGTTAAAGGATCAGTCCGCTATGTAAGATTTCACTATATATACAAAAATACTTGACCTGAATGATCTAGAGCTAGGACGCTAAATTGTTGCTGTAGTTACGTTATGATATGTATGTGCAATCTGGGTTGTTTTGCATAATTCCACCCGCAACTGTGGAAAGTGAGTGAAAAATGCTTGCTTTCGATTTTTCTCAATCACCCGAGCGGATGGTAAGCTTATTTCAAAGATCATCGTGAAAACTCGACGTATATGACACTTTTCAAAAAGTCGACGCGCCCTGGAAAAGTCGGGCAATTATCATTTAATTTCATAACTGTATACCATGTACACCAAAAATCGATAAAAGAGTATTATGAAGTTGTGGAATTATTGAAAGGCTGAAAGGGAGTCGTTTACATTTACTGCTCTATATTTTCAACTCTTACATTTCAGGGCCATTCTTGTCTATAATATTTTTGTTCTGTCATCGCGTTCAGCCCCTGTCGGTTCGTTTTCAATTGTCACACAGCAAAGAGCCAAGGCATGGATTCGAATTAAGGGAAATCGGTTACATATTTAGCACGCAGTACATTCAATTTGTTCGCCAAAGCATTTGAGTCATTCGCATTTTTTTGACAATTTATGTGGATTGTTGGCACTTAATATATAATAGTTGCAGCGAAATAGTGCAAAACTGTTGATTGGCCCATGCCAACTGTAGTTGACCGTAGTTGTAAATGGTATTGTTAGAAGGAAAAAGGGGCTGAATATTAGATTTAATGGAAAGGTTGTTATTATCAATAAGGAACATACTGCAATAAATTTTATAATGTCTCGTTTCAATTGACTCGTTTTTCCTGTGAACTGAATATTTTTTGAAAAAAATAAAGAGCACATTCTAAAATGTATTAAGGATATTATTAGATAATATTAACTTGAAGCTTTCTCATCGATCCAACAACGATTCTTTACATAGACCTGAAAGACTAAAAGGGCTAAATTGTTTTAAATATTTTTATCAAGGCTTCGAACCGACTCGAACTCAGAATTCCAATTCCGAACCTTAATAAACCAAAACTAAAATATAGTTCAACCGATATTCGAAAACTGGCGATTCTCCAAAAATGCTATGGTTACAAATAAAAAACTTATGAGTGAGACTCAGCTTTAAAACATAATCCTCATGGGTCCCAACCATATGAGTTATCTAACCATTCTTGTTAGATGCAATACTTTCAGTACAACGGGCAATAGTAAATAAATAATTGAATTGTTATAATTAAAATATTAAAATTATAGAAAAAACAATGACCTAGGCTCACGGATGTGGAAACCAGCTTCATGAACCAAATCCAGTCCCACCGACAATGCCGTGTGTAGATTATCGTAAAGATATTATAAAATTGGTTCGATTTCTAGTCGACCATCTTGATTAGCTGTGTTTATCGGCCTCCCTTTACCTTTCTAATAATTATTCAGATATCTCTATGAATTATTATTATTATTATTATTTTTATTACACGTTTTTAAAGTAAGTTGCTTATACAAAAGCCTAACACGTTTTACTCAGTGCTGGTGCTCAATGGTTTGCGATTGCCATCTTGCATTTCGTGTTCAGGAAATTTATAATTATTTAACCTTAACTAAGAATGAAATGCAATAGTTTTATTTCTAAAGGAAATGTTCTTATATTAAATGAATACCACAAGAACACATACGTAAAGCCGTAATACCTGGTTCTATCAAAAGAGCCCAAGCTGACGTTTCGCATTGATTCTTCCATCTGCCGTATACAGCCGGATATCCTTCGTCATTTGATTGAAATCTGTTCTTTGCTGGAAGCAAGTTGCTATTCGCAACAGTATTGCCAGGCATTGTGCGTAGCCGATTGATTTGGTTTCGTGTCAGGAAATTGGAAATTGCCATTGAATTTATGCGAGCTGCCAAGAGACAGAAGCAAGAAACTAATTTATATCGCAATCACCTGGGTCCCGGTCCCAAGTGCACACGAAGTCAAAATCAACCCATACAATCAAAAAAAAAAGTACTCGATTGCCGCTTTTCAGCGTACCAAAGTCCGTTTGTTTGTGGTTATGTGTGTGCGTGTGCAGCATAACAAAAAAAATGCATATGCTGCCAACGCAGCGAAAATTAATGGCAAACAATTACCGAATTCCAGCTGCCAAAAGATAGATGAAACACAGAACCAGCACAGCCAGCACCAGATGAGTTGCCAAAATGGGATGGGCAACAAGTTTATCATAAGACGCGTGTACACACGCACACACACATAGCCACACACATTGACACCAATTGCACGTGCCAGATGAGACTCAATCGCTATGTCCTTACCCGTAAGCCGCCTTGGTCTCAGGCATATGATTCATTAAGTTCAACTGTGCCTTGCGGCAGTATAAAATAACAAACAAACAATACAAAGGAAATCTAGCTATCTTTGACACGCCGATGATCAAATACCCTTGTAAGTTCGGTCGTATAATACAGTAGTACGATGTGAAACAGATTTGCAGATCTATTAGGTCGAAATATCTTGAAAAAAAGATATCTTTAACAAATTGTTACACAAAAGCGGGCAAGTTTTCCTATGGAGGTATAAGATATACCAGTCCGATGTTGATACGTTTTTGTTCATTTATAAGGAGCTTGTTAATGTGGTGTTTTCTCAAAATATCTTGAAAAACAAAAATTAAATTTGGCCCGATCATTCTTCTTCTTCTATATGATATAATGGCTATATCAGATCGGCTATCGATACTAATCAAGAATATGCATAATTGTACTCTATGAGGGCAGATTCATCTTCATATATACGCTACACATTTCGTGATGAATTAAAATGCCCTCTACAGAGATATAAAAAGGAAAAGCAGAGCACAGAATTAAATCCTGTCCTAAACTCATGCACACACTAGTACCCACTGAAGTCTGCACTCGTTTACAACTATTTCGGCTAGGCATGCTGCGAACGTATGCTATGTGCACGAGTGATTGTGTGTATCAGTTTGTGCTTTGAGTAATCTAAGCAAATGAACTGCATCACGCACATATCCAAATTGAAACTCCACAATGTGCAGATAAGGTAACAAGTGTCAAGAATAAATTATGTCCCAAGTTCAAGTTGAATGATTTCCTTTGTTTGTGTTCGCTTGAAATATTTAAGGGGGGTGGCATTAAATTTGTCGTTTTGGCAGTGATAATAATGTCACCTTTGAGAAAAGTCTGAGGATAGTCTTTGAATGTCTATAAATTAATCAAAAGCCATCAAAACTTATGAATTTCAATTTAAATATGTTTTAAATACTAATTAATCAGAAATGTTAAATATTTAAAACGTGTTTATATACATATAATTAATTCACATACATTAGGGTCTAATAGGTTAAATTAAAGAATAAGCCCGACTCAAGGTCATTGTAAGGTATTTTTTTATCTTTTTATTATTATTGTATATTATAACCAACAAACAACACCAAACAATGAACAAGTATAACAAAATGCAGGTTCTCTGCTTAGCTACTATATGAAAAAAATTGATCATTAGCACACTTTGCTATGAAGTCCAGGTTTGCAAACTTGTCACCGTTTCGATGCTTTCACTAGTTGAGAATTCTAATAACTAATACTGTTGACCAAAGCACACGAGTGTATTAGAGCTCGTTAGAGAATGAGAGTTTGTGTTGTGTTGTGCGCGCGCTTTCGTTTAAAGCGTTCATTTTGTTAAGTTTTGCATCATACGTTTTGCTTTCCATTCAAAACGGATCGCGTCTGCTGCGCTTTTGACGCTCACGTTACTGCTGCTGCTGTCGCCGCCGCTGCTGCAGTTGCGTTTATGTTTACGGTTTTGCTTACGTTTTCACATACGAGTTCGTTCGCATTCTCCTCGGCGTCCAGCTGCGTCACGTCGTTGGCGGCATCGGCGTCGGCGTTGGCGACGCGTCGATGCGTCTGACCGGGTCTGGGAGAGGGTTCGTGCGTTTAGTTCGGTTTTCGACTCGAGACTCAACGCAACGGCAAACAAAACGCGCGTTTTTTAACACTTGAAAATAAATAAAAATAATTTCAAAACGCATTCAATTGGGATACGGAAACCGTCGCGGTGAATGTAACTTACCTTACAAAAAAAAAATAATAAAAAGCTTAATAATTGGATTGCTTAGAGCAAAGTAAAATTAAATGTAAAAGAAATAGAAAACGAACAATTGTAAAAGTCCGTTACAGAGACTTTGTGAAGTGGATTTTATAAATAGCCAGCAAATTGCGGCAACTAGAAAGTGAAATTGAAATTAAATGAGAAAAATGAGAAAAAAAACTGTCAAGTCCGTTCGATTCTTTATCTGTGCGAACGTACTTGACATTAATCTGTATAAACAAGTAAAAATGTATTTTTATCTCCTCGAAGATATAATATACATTTTGTTATTTTTATCTGAAGCTGAACAATTCTAAGAAATCAAAGACTAACCCACTCTGATTTGGAAGCAATTAACACTTACAGATTGCAACCTTTGACAAACGTTCATGAATGATAATTCTATGGAATTGATTGTGTGATGAAGAAATATATACCAGTTACTTATTGATATCTGTTGATCACTTGATTGGTCAATATTATCGCTTAATACATAATATTGTTTGCATCTTTTCTGCTCTGTTTAAAATGTCTGCCAAATATTCAAGTGTAAACAATTATTGTGGCGCCCTTTTGGGGCCATTTACTTGTGGCCATAAATTGTATGTAGTTTAAATAACGAATTAAACAAAGCTCGGCATTTATGAAACTATTATAAAATGCATTCTACATATTTACTTTTGTTGTTATTCATTCGTTAAAGGGGAATTCGGGTTCGTTTATGGCTAAAGGCCATTCAATTAATTATTCAGTATATATTAAAGAAAACATTGAATGTCATTTTCAAAACTTTTCATTTCTACGAGCCAAATGCAATTAAACTCTATGCTTTAGAGAATCTCTCACGTCCACATTTATTTTGTGCAACCAAAAAGAAAATTAAAATCACGCTCGATTAGCCAAACAAATGCTAAAACTAATTTTTTGCCGCCTCAAAACTAGTTTGCTGGCAAAAATTACTTTTCATTGGAATTTCGTTTCGTGTGGTTCTAGTTTCTATATATGTGCGTAAATTGCAAACTAATTGATTTATAATTAATTGTTGGTGCTTTTCATCGCACAGTCTCAGCAGTAGGGAAAGCTACAAACTATCAATTCTGGCCCAAATCACAAAAACGACGCCAATCTGTCTCTCAGACGCGTCGTACTTGAAAATTTTTAATTATTTGATTTATGTTTTTCATGCTCAGCAAAATGCTTCTATAGGGTATATATTTGTTGTTGCGAATGCTAAGTATTTACTCTGATTTATTGTGCGGACGGAAATTCAACTTGATTATTGCGTGCAACTCGGCCAATGTAACTCAGAAAAAGAATATGCGTTCTTCGTAATCTACGATATTATCATTAAAAATTAAATAAATCTGTATTAACAATTTCTAAGCATTTTAACGTACTTACATATTTCAAGTATACTTATTTTGTTAAGAGATTTATTTTAATCGTAATATAAAAAATATAAAAGTATTATAACTCTCACATATGGAACAATAAATAAAATTGTTATAAGAAGTGCTATTAAATGGGTTCCCAAATTCATAATATATACCACATCTTTTTTCTTGAATATTTTCTCAAAACCACATATTTATTTTTCTTGCTTTTTGCCGACTTCGTTTACATTAGAAAAAATGTTGAACATGCCGAGTTGAATGGATTGACTTAGACGTCCAACTCATAAGTAAATAAAGCAATTAGAGTCGGTAATTAAACGCTAGCGATTTTATTGAGGCAGTCAAACTGATTTTGTGTTACGCTCAGAAAATCCATTTATTTATAAATACTTGTGCAGCTACCTATTCCTATAAACTTGATATGCTCTCAGATAATAACGACAATTGTGTAAATAATGTGGTCATTGAACTACATATCATTATCTATAAAGGAGTTTGTACTCAGAGAGTGTAAGAGCTAGAATGCTCAAGTTTTTCCTGATACTTCCTTTTCGGCCGAAAGTGATCTAGTGATTGAAAAAATCAGCCTCCAAGTGGGGAGAACCGGTTTGTATCAACAACCAAGCAGTCATTTCTGTGCCTTGCGAACATCAGGAGCCTGAGAGGCTGTAGTGTTTAAGCGTCGGGCTAACGAAAAGGGGGTCGCTTGTTCCAACCCAGCATCCAACCGAGTTCATCTTAGTTTAATGAAAAGTTTTGCTAGACGAAAAAAAATGTTATACAGCTACAATTAGTGAGCACAATTATTTTAGTGTTTTTATGTGCCACTTCCATCGAACTTTTGTTATTTTAATTGCTCCGGTCAACTTACTAGTGCGCATTGCGGCACACAATAATACATATTTGCAATAAGCTAAAAATAACATAAAAAAAGTGAAGCTCATATTTCACACAAAAGGCCAACGGCAGCAACAACAATTTGCTTAAGCAGCAATCCCAACCAAAACAAAAATATTAGCCAACAAATAAAGACAGTAGTAATGGCTGGGGAATGCTAAAAAAAGAGCCTGAATGACCATAGAATGCCGCTCAAATTACTTTAAAAAACACAGACAAACAAACCTTTAAAAATATTCATAAAAAATTCGAGTTTTCCAAGAGACTCGACAAAGTCCTTGATTCTGTTGAAGCTATTCCATTTGCTGTGCGTATTTTACGTTAGTTTCAGAAATGGGGGAAAGGTGTATTACAGACGGCCAAAAGGGGCTGGTCGAAATCAAGTAAACGAATTATAAGGTGTGTGAATTTGGCATTTGGCAGGCAAAGATGAAACAAATAGACTAAAATAAACATATATGAATTTGAATAAGTGGGTTCGCCTGCACATTTGAGTCATGATGGATCGCTAGGTGAGAATCTTATATTATAAACTCATAATTCATAATCATTGTGCGAACAACAATTAAAACGCAGCTCAGCTGTCAATAACTGTCCGCAGCTTTAACGGCACACAAACAAGCCAACACTAATGACCGCTGACCACGGGCAGCTTTCCGCCCGCTGTGCGGCTGCCCGGCGGTCGATCTGGTAATCCACGGCACGTGTAAGCTCTTAAGATCTGCTTCGTTCCAAAAAAAAAATAAAGAAAACAAAATATAAAAATAAAATAAAAGACCCAAGACCATAGAAAATTGAACATTCGAAAACGAATATACAAAAGTAATAGACATGGAAAAAAAATTGGCAATAAGATTTAGGTACCTGTATTGTGTCTGCATGGGTCCAAGTTTGGGGAACGAAGTGATTTGACCCATATTATTGTCTCCGGCTCTTTTTAAAAATAGACATATGTGGGCTTTCAATTGGTAGCTGGTCAGCAATTGAGAATGAGTTATGGATAAAATAAGCTCTGTGTATTTATAAATAAGATATATTTATATAAAGCTCATGAGCAGACCTTTATTTCCCAGGGCCCAAATATGGCACCGAAATGTTCGCATATACCAAAGTGTAAAGCTCTTTCTTCAAAAGTGAGTTTTCAATTTCAATTATGGTGGGAAATGGGGGGTTTTATCAAAAAAGTCAAATATTCTTAATCTGTAAACATTATACGAAAACCTACATTAGTTTTTGCGAGTTAGGAGGAGATATACAAATTTAAACTATTTATTCTCCAGTCCGTTATATATATGTATTTTCAAAAGGTTATTGTACAACTTTTTACACAATTCCAATGGATAGATGTATTCCACAGATATACGCTTCATGATGCATGTTCCAAAGAATAAAACGTTTTTAATATTTACAGAGAATATTAAGTATATGTAAAGATTCGAAATTGCTAGAAGTGCAAATAAAACCAAAAATCAATGAGAGCAATTCGCAACAGTCTTCAAATCAACTCAAATCATTTACAAATTCAAAACAGAAGCCATATCGTTAAATAAATTTAAGCCTAATTATAAATCTTGCTTCGGGCCCTTACCACAGTTTAGTCAGTGTTAAGGTCGCAAATACTAGCAAACGAAAAAGCTGGACAACAATTGTGCCGAAAGCAGAATAAAGTTCTTCAATCGTGATTTTCTTTACTTTTAGAGTTAGCACAAAAAATATAAAAAATAATACTTACAAACTCCAATGGCTTAGGGCATCATTTCGAATCGCTGTGCCAATCTTTTGTTGCAATTTTTTCCTTTCGTAAATTTATTGTGTTAATACTATTGTTTCTTGTGGCCAGTTGGCACGGCTTGAGGTCATTTTTGGTTTGTGGCTATTTTTAGCAGCAGCTCTTTGTGACTTAGCTGTAGATTATCATTCGCAGCATATTGTCCGAAATGAGGGAACAGTTTGCCATCCAAAAAATAAAATCTATTGTATTTATAATTTGTCAGTTAACTTGAGCTCTTTTGTGCCTTAAATTGCCAACACCTCAGGTGTGATTTGTGGTTCAATAAACCGCTTCTTTCAATTCATTCGCTTCATTTTGTTAAGCTCCGGTTGGCAATTATTTACTTTGGTAATTGCCGTTTAATTTGTAACAAATTTCGATTAGATTCGTTCGAAAAAGTTTCCACGATTCTCTGACATATGTCAGGGGACTCTCCAAAGATCTATACGTTTTTGACGTGGGTACACTTTTATATTTGTCAGCTACAAGCTTATTAAATTTGTAAGCCACTTTAATACGTGCCAGTATTTAATACAAATATTCTCCAGCGTATATTGTTTAACAAAAAAAACAAAAAAACAAAAAAAAGTGAAGGTCAATAGAATTGTAAACGACATAGCTGGTTTATTTTTAGCCCTTTTGTGTTTTTTATTTCACAACTCGTAAATTTAATGTCTGTATTTTTAAATAAAAAGTTTAAATAAAAAGTTCAGCAAAAATATAAAACAGAACAAGTTCTTTGTGCTTCTCTTTTTAAGCGGATTTCGTCTCGGCTAAAATTGCTGTTGGCAATCAATTTATTGCTCAAATTTAAAAAGTTAATTTCTTTTATTTAAATTTACAAAATTTGCAATTTAACTATAAAACCCCTATAGGTGTTTCAACAATTGTACTCTAAATAATTGCTAAAAATAGAATAATTAGTATATTATTTTCTATATGCAAGTGTTTTTTATAGAAAGAACAGTAAGAACATAAAGCAGATGGGTGTGAAGCTCACTAAAGACTTTTAAATTAATATATGTTTCGTATAAATTTTTATTTTTGGTTTTTTTCTTCTGAGAACATTCTTAAGCAATCGCTTTTATATCCTCTTAACATTTGTTTAAACATAACGGAATAAAGAATAATATAAGTGCAATAAAAATTCTGAATTCTGCATACGACCAACGTCAACAAATTATTCAGACAAAAGTTTTTATAATTAAAAGTGCAATAATTCGTGATAAATAATATTAATAATAAACAACAAAAATAATGTACAAGCAAATATAAAATTTAAGTGCGCACACGTGAAGGCTTAAGAGCTGAATAAAATAACAATTTAACACAATTACACAAATAAATAATTAAGAATTTTGCGCTAATTGCCCTATTGTTGTTGCAGGCAGTCTCTGAGATTTTCAAAAATATCTAAAAACCAAAACGAAAATGCAATTTTAAATAAATCGTCATAAATAATGAGATCGCTTTTAATGTAACGATTGCCAAAGGCTCGAGTACGAAAACAATACCACAACGATGTTCACTTAAAATAATAAAATAAAACTAATTGTTAAATAAATAGCTGGAGGAACCGATAATCGAACACATCGAAGAAAGCCTCAGCTAAGACGAGCTGTCGCAGAATGTCCAGCAACATTGTGCGACAGCCACAAGAACGACAACAATTTCTGAAGCTGCTGCTGCTGCTGCTGCTCCTGCTACTGGTGCCCAGCCAGAGAGCCGGACCAGCGTCAGCGTATGCCGGGTTTTACGATGTGGACAGCGTTGCGGGCGTGGCCAGCATCAGTACCATAACGGACGTGCACAGCTTTAAAGTGCCCGACACGAGGAATGCACACAAATCGCAGCGAACGCAACTCGTGCAGCAGTTTCCCAGCACCGCCAGCCAGGGCAGTCATCATCATCATCATCATGGCGGGCATGTGGTGCGTCGCCAGCTGGTGTTTGTGGCGCTGCTGCCGTCAGTGGAGTCGGACAACAAGAACGACTGCATCATGCCCAAGGTGTTGCCCGTGCTGGAGTTGGGCATTGCGCATGTGCAACGCTTGGGTTTCGTTGGTGGCGTTCAGATTGATATTACACTGATATCACGTGACACATTTTGTTCCTCTACGTATGGACCGTTGGGCTTCTTTGAGATCTATACACAGTGGCCGGAGATGAACGCAATCTTTGGCCTGCCTTGCGAGTATGTGCTGGCGCCCATCTCCCGATATGCCGATGTCTGGCAGATTCCGTTACTCACGACCGGAGGCAATGCTGGAGAGTTCAGTAAAAAGACGGAGAGCTACTCAACTTTGACCCGGCTAAAAGGTGCCCAAGTCAACAATCTGGGCAACATGGTCCGTGCCATTTTAAGCACCTATAATTGGACACGCACGGCCCTGATCTATCAGAACGAGAATGCTAAAATAAAGGGCAACTCGGTGTGTTTCTTGTGTCTGGCGGCAATACATGCCACCATCGAGAAGGAGTCGGTTTATCAACTCGGCTTCGATACTGCGCATTGGACCAAGGCATATATCATACGACTGCTCCGGAATGTGGCCTTACGGACAAGAAGTAAGTGACATTGGTGGGTTGTATACCTCCTCAACTTGGTTAAGTTATGTTGCAGGTGCTACCTGTAAGTTTTTCCATACAAATTATGTAGAAGAAGGAAAGCTAGAAGGACCTTTGCAATTAGATCCTTTTACAAGCGCTCTAACATCCTCCGGATAATGGGGGAAGGTATCTTTTTTATACATTTGCAGAAAAACAATATAACCATTCCAAATGAGTATAGGCAAAGATGGTTCAGGGTATACAAATATATTTGAAAATTGATCTCGAAATAACAATAACTGGTTGGTGGCCCTCCAAAATACTCTATGCGTATTATTGGTTGTAGAGCCGGGCGTAGGCCCCAAACAAAACGTATTGTGTGTTTTGAACCATTTAACGTCTATAAATATCGACAGCTGTGTCAATATGTGCTTGTCCCTTCATGTTTATATTGAATGAATACAAAAGCTTAAATTAAGCAAATATAAGGTTAAACATGAATACCCTCTGCCTAGATCAAATGTGTATCACATATTTTAAATACTCTTTATTAGTATGCTTATGACAAATCTACGAATATTGTTAAACCAATATCAACAGAAATAATGTGCTCATTAAAACATAATTATGGCTTTGTGGGCAATACCGAAATAAAAAAAAAAATACAAATTTATTCTTAACTCGAATTGGACAGTTCAGCACATTAAGAAGCCGACAAAGAATAGATTCGACATTTGAAAGTAGCTAAAAATATCACATTAGTTCAAGGGCAATCGGTTGATATATGCTAATTGTACATTCCCTCAATATTCTACATTGACAATTATTTGATTTTTACGTATGAGTTATTCATTTACTTCAATAGAATATCAGAATTCGTTAAATATACAAGAGTCTGGCAGACTCCATTGAATTGTCAATTGCCTTAGTACTTGTTATCCAAAGTATTTTAATCAAATGATTTGAGGTATAAAGAATTGTAAGCAATATTATAAGGAACCGGATAATATATATGTAATTCATTTCATTATATCATTTGCTTAAGGCTCAGCGAATACTTTTGCACATTTGACCTACGTTTTGAACTTTTTATTTGTAATGCGGCCGAGTCGAAATTAAATATATACAGAGTAATATATGCTCTCTCATGTATAGAATTTTGAAGTGATCAAGTTTGTGCTTTATATATATATATATATATATATATGTATATAGTACAATAAACGTTGATTTTTATTGACGATGTGATAATTAATTTAACAGTAGTACAATAAAAGCTGTTAATGTAAAATAATTTATATAAGATAGACATAAACACTTGTTGACATTTTAATTGCATAATTTGTTATTTTTATTCATGATTTTTTATTAATATATATATGATATAATTTATGACAAGCCGCCTATCAGAACTCAATTGGATTGTCAGCTTCACAATCATAATATACACACAAGCATAAAAGCATAAAAGCG